AGAATTACAATTTGAGGGACACTTGTAATTAAAGTTTTAAAACTCTTTGACAAGAGAAAGTAATTCTAATATCTTTGTAACACAATAGTCCAAACCATGGTCACTTGAGAAACTTACACCATAAAGAAATTGTTAAAAGAGAGACTAGGGGTCTACTCAATGGTAGAGCATAGCCTAGCAAGTATGTCAAGGCCAGGGTTCTATCTCTAGGAAAACAAAACAAAGCAGATAAAACATGTTAATGAAATGTTTTGCACTCCTTCCTTTGCACTAAGTCTTCAAACCCAACCTGACCTATTGGCACATGCTTGTAATCCAGTCCTATAACTCAGGAGGCTGAGGCAAAAGGATTGCTGGGAATTTGAGGCCAACCTCTGCTACACGGTAAATTCAAGTCCAGCTTGAACTACATAGTGAGGCCTTATCTCAAAACAAAACAAAACTCCTGTTCATAATTCATTTACTTGATCAATCAATCAAACATTTCAGTTTTTTGGTCACATTAGCCCATTTCCAATGCAGAAAAGCTGTGTGTAGCTAATGGCTGATACTGTGTAGGTTACATATGGTACAGGAGTAGATGCCTAGGAATCAGGATGATGGAACTGAAGGATCCAGCTCCATAGAAAACCTGGAAAGGTACCAAACCAAGAGCCAGGGCCAGGCATATAGCTCAGTAGAATAAGCGCTTGCCTGGCAAGCACAGGGTCCTAAGTTCAATGGCTGGTACTGAAAAAAAAAAAAAAAAGAGCCAGACAGCAGCCAAACCAGGAGTCCAAGGAAGAAAGTACTGGAAGCAAAGAACTCAGGATAGCTCTGGTGCTCCTCAACATCTAAACACCAGGCTTTGAAGCCCACTCTGGGACAAGGGGCTAGGAGAGGCAGGTGAGGGAAGGGTTAGCTCCCTGCAGTTCCTTCAGGAGAGTGTCAGCCCTCAAATGTCTGCAGAGATCCCATGCCTGTTACGGTGGGAGATGGCAGAAAAGGAAGAACTGAGTCTGGGAAAATTGCAGCTGGGGGTGTAGCTCAGCAGTAGAGCACTTGTAGCATCACCAAACAAAGACCCTCTAGAAAAACCAACATTTCTAGAACTGGTTCCAGAGAATGTCCTGTGCACAGGAGCCAGCCTCTGCCTGTACACCTCTGCAAGGCAAACCTGGACCAAGAATGGCATTACAGAACTGTCTATTTCCTCCTCCAATACCAAAGCAGAGGATGGGAAGCCACCCCTTGCTGAGGGGCTGCAAAGGGTCTTCTTGCTGTTCAGAGGACTGGATACCAATATTCCCTCCACCGAGATGCCTCCTGATTGTCCATTTGGAGTAACTGCCTACACACCAGGCAGCTAAGAGCTTGCAGTAAGCATTTTGCTGCCATCTCAGACTTCCTAACATGTTGAGCTTGGTCGTCTAATAATCCCCACTTCTCAGACAAGGATACGTAGCTGTCAAGAGGTATAGCAACTTCTTCCAGCCAGAAGGGGCTGAAGCTAAGATTGAAAGGTGGGCAGGAGCTGGGAGTGGAGCTCAGTACTATAGCACACACACGCACCCGTGGAGCAGTCTGCTTCCTGAGCCTGACCTGAGCCTCACTGCACCACGTAGCACAGGCTGCATTTCCCAATTGACCCCACACAATGTGGCCCTGAGAGAGATCAGGCCATAGCTCCGGATTTGCCAGAGCTGTTATTGCACCTAGGGGGACATATACAATTTCTCTTTGCCTTTCAGCAACTTGTGCCAAGTGGGAGCCCCTGGGAGTTTGAAGAGCAAGAAGGCAGGGAAGAGGGATAGAGCTGGCCTAGATTCCGGCTTCCACGTGGCTGAGCAGAAGCTGAGCAGGAGCACACAAAGGAGGGCTTTGACAGCGTCTCCTGCCAGGCTGGCCTCTGCCCCGGCACTGCACTTACCCATTCTGGGCCTCTCGGGAGCCCGACTTAATGGGAAACTGGGCAATGAGAAGTTCCTTGTGACACACTAATCCCGACCTGCTGACTGGACATGCCCCCGGCCAAGGGTAGCACTGGCACTTCAGATCAGTGCAGGTACCAGGTAGCCCTAAGGAACAGCTGCTGACCTAGCAGGTAAGAGGGCCCCAGATGAGCAGGGAGCTGGGGGGCAGGGGGAAGCCTGCATCCTAGGCTGCTGTGCAGCTGAGCCCCATGTGCCATTCTCCATTGTGAGGTTCCACCTCATCGTGGCCGTGGTGGATACTGAGACAGAATTCCTGGTAAAATGCAAATTTCTTGAGGCAGGCAGGTTACAAGTCTGAACCCAGCCTGGGTCACTTAGGGTGATTCTGTCTTAAATTACATTTTTAAAAAAAGGCTGGAGATGTAGCTCAGTGCAAAGATTCTGGGTTCAATCCTCAGTACTGGGGGGGGGGAGGCAAATTTTAGATGAATAACACATTCTTTTTTAGTCTAAGTATGTCCCAAATAGCAATAATAAGTTATTGTGTCTCATCTGGCAACTGTAGAAGGCAGAGAACAGAAACACAATTGTGGCAGGCATTGTTTTCATTGTATACAGTTCATAAATAAGCATTTTTTTTAATGCCAATAATTCCTTGGGATGGTTCCACCAGCCTATTTCCATTTCCAGAAAAACCTAGGTTTTTCAGCTTGTTTCAATGTCTGCATGTTTTAATGGTTTACATCTAGCTCCTGTGCAATTCCAGCCTCCAGAACTTTCCTGCCCTTTCTGGGACTGCACAGTGGGAAGAGTTGGAGGTGGGAGACCCTCAAATAGTCCCCGAGATAGACTGATGCTCAGTGTGATGCTAAGACAGGGAAGAGAACTGTTCTAGAGCACAACTGCGCTAGGTACACTCCAGAAGCCATCTGGCCTTCATGACCGTTTTTCCTAGTAGTACTGTTCTTATCTT